GTGTGGACCCAAACTAGTATCGATCCATTCATGTGTATCTCATGAAATGAACTTAATCCTCTCCCGTAGTTGCTCATAAACTAATTTTTTTCTATTGCATAACCAGCTTGCCAAAGAATATCTTAAAGCTGCACTTATCCATGCTTCCTCTTGAAGTTGTCCCTAATATGTCGCAAAGCAATAGCGATGTTGATGTGGTGATAGAAAATGTCCTTGTAGTGTTATTAAAATTTCTTTCATCCTATCAGATATGAATGTAATCGTCCGCACTCCCACACTAGGGATATGAAATCTAATGCATGAAAAACCATGCCTAATTTTTTTGTATTTTTAACATCAACCACTGTAAATGCCAAAGAAAATAAATCACAATCTACGTATACTCCAGTTATAACAAGCAAAATGCCTTTATATTTACCGTATTAGTGGGTGCCGTTAATACTAAGAAGAGGACAACAATATCTGAAACCCTTAATGCAAGGCCCAAAAGCCCAAAATACACTTGTGAACTATCGCTCTCCGCCATTAACATGGTCTGATGATACTTCATACATTGTTCCCGGATTTTCTCTTTTGAGTGCTTCAAGATAATGTGGTAAGATCTCATAAGATTTATCCTAATCCCCAAATATTTTTATCATTACCTCCGAACATTCCAACACTTGTTATATGATACATCCAAGTTAGTCTCTTTATGCACTAAAAGACGAAATTCTTTTGGACTTAGATCAAGATCCTCCCTTAGATTAGGTATAATCAATCAATATATGAAAGAAGCGGATGTGTGCTTATGATTCATCTCTAATCGAGGATTGCTACATGTGTGGAGTCTGTTGTAGTGTGTGATTTTAAATTACCCGCCTACTCTTACACCCAAGCATGAATTAAGCTTCCAAGGACATTTTGCACTTCCAAGGACATTTTGCATTGCCGTCATGGTGTCCACCACTATCTTCTTCTTCACAATCTTTGCGGTAAAAACAAACTACATTATAGCTAGTTGCATTGCTTTTTGTTTGCCTAAACTTGACATTTTTTGGATGACCCACAAACAAAGCGTATGAATTAAATTCTCCTTGCTTTCAAATAGATCGTCCTTTTTGAATGAGAAGTTCTCGCCTTGTGTATCATCAATGATATTAGTGTCGATAGAAATACTTTCCATCGTTGAGTTATAAATTCATTCTTCTCCATGAAGTTTATCGGGCGACGGATCCTCTAACACGACATACTCATTGTTAGTATAACATCCGTCAATATATTAGTTTTCCCTTTCATCACGATCTATCAAACACATCATGTTATTAATTTGTAAGCCATCCTCTTCATCATCATCGTCAGATTCGACACTTACATTATCATCTTCTATCGCCACTCATGTGGAAGCAATTGGATCTTTATGGGGAGTGCTAGCATCGAATGCATTTGAAGTGCCCACAAGCGAAATCGGCTAATTGTTCTCTGATAGCACTTGCTGCTGTAGAGATTTCCTGATTTTGAAATGAAAGACCACTCAAGTATTTTGACTGTGTCCATCCTACATCTTGTTACGGAGATAAAAAGCCGGCGGAGTCAACTTCAAGGTCCTCTAACATGCGAGAGTATACTCCGTCGGGATTTACTAATTTGCCCAAATTTCTGTGATGCTTTTCAATAAATAATTCCACCGAAGGCTTCTCGTCATGCAATATTCCAATACGATCCATGTCGTAGTCGCTCGAGATTTGAATGTCGCTTGTTTTGTTCCTCGTAACAGGATAATTGTAAATAATATTGAGGTGATACTCACATGAATTGGTTAATGTAAGTTTGTGTAAGTCATTAACTAATTCATCGAAAGTACATGATTTTGAGATAAACAACGGCTTCATCACACCTCCTTCATATACGAGCATATTATTCTTGAGATAGTTAATCTTTCCATCATATGAACAAAGAATTATAATTCGAATGTTCATCGTTACCTCTGAAGAATAAAAAATTCCAATATCAATATTACACGAAAAATACAAAAAATATTATTTTCCATTAAATCCTCTAATATCGCACGAGTGGTTTTCTATAAATTTAACCAAATGTCAAACATTTTAACCAAATTACAATTTTTGATAATTTCCCCTCTAACTGCATACACAAATTTCTTTAATTTTTCTTCACAAAATTCATAAATATTTTGAAATTTATTTCAAAATCTAAATTTTAACAAGTTATTAGCATGAAATAGTGTGAACATATAAAAAATTAGGAGAATTTTTTTAAATTTTACCTAAAAATTTGTCGATGCCCTAATTTCCGGCGAACTTCGACGGTGACGGCGGCGGGATCGATCACCGACGGTGATGGTGTGCTAAACTCCACGAGACTTGAAGTCCTGTGGAGTTGCAGATGGACTTTCCAGAGAGCGTTTGCTCTCTGGAAATGCCAACTGAAACATCACGAGACTTCAAGTCCCGTGATGTTATGGACGACCTTACTAAACATCACGGGACTTCAAGTCCCGTGATGTTTTGCACATCACTAAACATTACGGGACTCAAGTCCCGTGATGTTTAATCACAAGCATAAACTTCACGGGACTTGAAGTCTCGTGATGTTTGGTAAAGTTTTTCACCAAAATCGAGTTGGCTGAAACTGGGTCGATTTTGACAATTAAAGTAAAAATAAGTTGTATTTAGCAAATATCTTTCAAAATGGGTCGAAATTGAAAATTTGTCCTACTTTCCCTCTCTATCTCATTGTGCATGTTATCTCATCAACATCATCATCTAACATCTATGATTTGTTGGGAAGTTGGCAGCATCACCCCTTTAACGCCTCCACCGACTTCTGAAGACAAAGTCACAAAAATGGACAGTGAGTTTGCTCGTCCTCCTTGTTTGAAATTGTTTTGTTTTGGGGTTAATCCTTTGGTCAAAGTTCATTTCCAAAAGAGTTGATTGCAAATAGACCCATGTAGTATAGTTGTATTGCACTTATCATCTCTTTCTGTTTTCCTTTTCTTTGCAGATAGATCCCTGACCGACTCTTTTTACTCCCAGAGAGAACGAAAGTTGTTTTGGCAAATAGATCATCTACAGGTA